GTGCTTTTGTTTCCATTTTATAAAAGCTGCTTCAAGTCCCAGTTTTGTGGGGAAATTGTGGTATAAATGAACTCATCTTTATCTACAGTAAAGAAGTACATGCTTTGGAGCTGAGCACTAGCTCCCAGCACCATCTTCAATCTAGAATCATCCTCCAGATAGCAACAAGAGCACTGAAACCCTAAACCCAGGATACTGTGACTTGTGGCATCAAAAGGTGCCGTGAATCCAGGGGAAACAGGAGGATCACATCACCTGATCTCCCAGACACATCATCTTCCCCAGCAGTCAAAACAATTCTGTGCTAAAATGGGGACTAAAAACAGACTGAAACCATCACTCACATAATCCAGGGGTGTCAAACTCATTTTCTCCAAGGGCCACATCAGCCTTATTCTGATGTTTAATTATAAGAATGCATAAATGTAACTATGTTTCCCTAGCATTGAAAGCATAATACATGGCACATAACAACAACAACAACAACAACAACAACATGGATGTGGCTCAAAAATTGAACTTTGAAAAAGGAGATGGAGGGCCTGATTTTTGCAGCCCAAGAACAAGCCATTAGAACGAATGCCATCAAAGTCAGAATTGAAAAATCAACGACAGATTCCAAGTGTAGACTCTGCAAGGAAGCAGACCAAACAATGGATCACATACTCTGCTGCTAAAAGAAGAAGAAGAAGATCGTGCAGATGGACTATAAGCAGAGGCACAACACAATTGCTCAGATGATCCACTGGAACTTGTGCCACAAATACCATCTGCCTGTGACAAAGAACTGGTGGGATCACAAGCCTGAAAAAGTTACCAAAAACGAACACGTCAAACTACTCTGGGTCTTCCGAATTCAGACTGACAGAGTTTTGGAGCACAATACTCCTGACCTCACAATCATGGAGTGGGGTGGGGGGGACCAAGTATGGATCGTCGATGTTGCAATCCCAGGTAACGCAGGAGTGACAAGAAGCAACTGGAAAAGCTTATACGATATGCAGATTTAAAGATTGAACTGCAGAGACTCTGGCACAAGCCAGTAAAAGTAGTTCCTCCTCTAAAACACCTACCACGCCTTGTATTTTTTGCTAAAGAAAAAATTAAGGGTACCTCTATTTGTTTGGTTTTTTTCCAAATTAGGGATACTTCTTGGCCACATTAGATACTGACAATCCTTAGGGTGCTTCCAGATAGCAAAACCCGGGACCTAAGAGAAGGTCTGGGATTTGGGCCTGCAACATCTGGACTTGCTGCTTTGTTCCAGGATTTAGAAGCCCGCAAGATGGCCATGGCTGCTTTTGAATTTTTTAATGCAGTGATGCAAATATGCGCATTGTTCATACGAGTTTTGTTCCTGGAATATAAATGCCGGTTTCTCATTGGCTCTACCAAAAACCTGGCAAAAGTTAATTACAGGGCAAAAACTTTGTCATGGCAAGAGGGACATCGCCATCTACCCATTTATCAAAGTGACATACAAAGTTTTTGCTGTGTAATCAACTTTCCCCACGCTTTTACAAAAGAAGCAATAAGGAACCGACATGTATAACTCAGGAACATGTATAACCGTTCTTCCAGGCACAAATATACCACCAAAGCTGTCCTGATAGGTGGCCATGCAGCCTCTGAATAATAATAATGACAAAATTCTGTTCCTGATTTGAAAGTGTGAGTTTCTGTTTAATGGTGTAGACCTTACTTTGAAAGTACTTGTCGTACTCCACAAATTTTGTTTATGTGCCACAAACTTTGATAAATGAGTGGATGGCGATGTCCTTCTTGCCACAACGAAGTGTTTACCATGTAATCAACTTTCTCCATGTTTTTACAATATAAGCAATGAGGAACCAACATTTATAACAAATCAACATAAAAATTCCATATTTTTTGAGTGCAGGGACATACAGAGATTCAAAGACTCGAATCCTTTGGCCAGAACCTAGATATTCCCACACTTTTTGATCTTGCGTGTTTTAGGCTTTGTTGTGATTCCTTCCATGCTTTAAGCTCCATTTTGAACCAGGAGCTCCTGGGATAAAGGTACTGTGTGGATGGGCCCTCTGATGATACCCAAATTCTGTTTGCTGTGCTCCCAAACTATCCATTTTTGGAATGAATGTAAGCACCAGAGAAATAGCATCACGACAACTTTAACTATTTATATCGCAATGCTGGAGAGGCACTCTACATCTGCTGCACTTCATCTTATATTTGGGCAGTTTTTGTTTTCACTCAGATGTTAACCATGAAGGGAAATGGGAATTTTAAAAAATGGCTCGAATATTTATCAGATTATATACTCCAAGACTACATAACTGGAAGAACAAAATGTATGAATGGTCATCCAAAGGAGAATTGGAAATTAAAATGGAAAGAGATTATAGCCAGAGCAAGGATCTGAACCAAAAAATCTTCATGATCAAACAAATAATATAAAACCAATGAGTAGAGTTACATCTGTTCTCAGAGGGAGGTGGTAGGAGGAAGAGGGAGGGAGAAAATTGATAGATATAAATAATAGATATATTGAACTGTAAAAGATGAAATGTAATCAACAAAATATGTTATATGATAAATAAATAAATAAATAATCTATATAAATAAAAATATAATATTCATTTGTGGGATTAACATAACTCAAAAACCACTGGACGAATTGACACTAAATTTGGACACAATACACCTATCAGGCCAATGAGTGACTATCAGTCACTTTAACTCCATCAGTGCCGTTTGTGTTGCTGACTGCTCTGGGTCCTGACACATAACAATACTAAAAAGCAGAAGAGACTTAAAAAGCCAAAAAAAAATATACAATGCATGCGTAAAACCACATATATATATGCAAACACACATATATACGCATACACACAAATATATACAGACACATATACGCATATATATATACACACATAACACATATACACAGACTGGGCCACAGCAACGCGTGGCAGGGGATGGCTAATAATAATAATAATAATAATAATATATTATTATTATTATTATTATTATTATTATTATTATTATTATTGTGTATATGCAGTTGTGACAATGTTACAATTGCATGTAACCATGTTCTTCCTCCCACCCTGGACATTCCACAGATATATCTGAGGGACCGCCTCACCCCCTACCAACACCAGAGATCCCTCCGTTCTGAGGACCAAGATCTATTGGAAGCCCCCAGTGTCAAGACCTTGCGTCTAACAGCAACCAGACGCAGAGCCTTCACAGCAGTGGCACCATCACTCTGGAACACTCTGCCACCTGAAGTCCGTGCCTTGCGGGACTTACCAGCTTTCTGCAGGGCATGTAAGACATACCTGTTTCGACAGGCTTTTAATGTTTGATAGTGTTGTTTTTAAATTGTTTTAAATTGCTTTTAAATTTTGTTAGATTTTAGCTATTCTTGTAAGCTGCTCCTAGCCCCGGGGAGTGGCGGAATATAAGTTTAAATAATAAATAAATAAATAAATAAATAAACAAATAAACCTCACTTGTCTAGTTTCCAACAAACCTCACAACCTCTGAGGAAGCCTGTCATAGATGTGGGCGAAACGTCAGGAGAGAAAGATTCTGGAACATGGCCATACAGCAACGAAAAACTCACAACAACCCAATGTTACAAATTACTTACATCTAACCAGAAATAATAATAATAATAATAATAATAATAATAATAATAAAGATATTAACCATTAAGAACTGAAAGTTTCTCTGGATGTGAGTAAACCATGAAGAAAAAATAATTGTGAAAGACAAGGAGGGGGGAGAGGATGTGGAGAGCAGGAATATGGCAAGAGGCAGAGAATATATAGGAATGAAATGGCAGAAGGCTGGATGAAGAAATAAGCAAATAAGTAACTGGACCATTTCAGCAAAAAGATAACACTGGTGGAAGTAGTGGAAACATATTATTTATTATTTATTTATGAAAGAACTGGCTTGAATGAGAGCATATGTATCTGTAGGATGCACCCTCTTTGTTGTGGCTTTCAAAAAGAAGAGAAAATATCCTTTGGGTTGCTGTGAGTTTTCCGGGCAGTATGGGCATACAGTGTTCCCTTGCTATTTTGCAGTTCGCTTCACGCGAACCCGCTGTTTCGCGGGTTTAAAAAAAATTAAAATACAAGTAGCGAAGGAACACTGTATACCCATTATCAAAGTGTGTTGTTTTTCCAGCATAGATGCTGCCACAGACTTGAGTTCCAGAGTTACTCACAGACAGGCGTGTGTGTGGCTGGCAAAGAGCCTGGAGAGGGCTAGAGGGGGCTGCCAAGGCAGCTTCCACCGGGACTTCTTCCTCGGAAGCCGGAAGCATTGCCCTGGCTGGCGGAGGCAGTGGGCTGCAAGTGAGGTGTGTGTAGCTGGTGAAGAGCAGGGAGAGGGCTGCCAAGGCAGCTTCTGCTGGGGCTTCTGCCTCAGGCAACTGGGTGAGAGCCCCATGTCAGTAGGGAAGCAGGGAGGGAGGGAGAAGGGTGGCTCCAGCAAGAGGAGGGGGGAGGGAGGGAGGAAGAGAGGGGGAAAGAGGAGAGGAAAAGAGAGGGAGGAGGGGGAGATAGGAATGGGCGGAGCATCCCTACATCGTGGTTTTTCACTTATCACGGGTGGTCCTGGAACGTAACCCCTGCAATAAGTGAGGGAACACTGTATTCCAGAAGTATCCTCTCTTGAAATTCTGCCCACATCTATGGCAGCCATCCTCAGAGGTTGTGAGGTCTGACACAGGAAAACTCCCACAACCTAGCTATTCCTATCCATGAAAGTCTTCCACAACAAAATATCCTTTATTGCATAATTCCTGAATATGCCCATGTGATCCTTGCCAACACAAACATGATCTAATAGGCCCAAGCCTATGAATCTGGAGGGCACTGTGTCACCCAATGTTCCACACTTGCTATGTCAATTAGTCTTCAGCATTAGGGAGTTCATACTCTTTTGTTGTCTGTTCTGTAAAATGCCTACCAGACATTCAGTAACATAGTCAAGCTTACCTGCCATGCCTCGACCTTCTTGATGTCTGCACAAGACCCATTGGTGAACATCCCTTTCCCTGGGACACAGGTGTAGATATCCTGCAAAGCGTGGGCGATTGAGTATACTGCTAAGTACACATTATAAGATATCCGTAGGTGGGTATAATCCATGTAAGGAGTCTCTACACTGCTGATGTTTTCCGCCCCTGTACACGGTGGGCGGAAGCCAGCTGTGACATTTCCAGGTTTAGCGCCTTCTTCGTGGCCCTTTAGGAAAGACATAGAGCCTGGATGGTTCTTATTTCCATCTGGTAAGTAGCAGTTAAAAGTCTCCTCCCAAAACTCTTTGATAAATCCATTGTTGATGGATTTCTTTGGATGCACCTTCTGCAGAAATTTCCGAAAGCCAGGGATCTGTCCTGCTTTCAGAGCAAATCCAATGGTGCCACCCATGACATGAAAAAACTGTGGCATGGCTATCAGTGAAGAGCTGGCCCAGGCTTCGCTTGCCAGCCAAATCCGGCCAGTGATGTTATGTGTCACAATCTCTTTGATGAGCGGTTCCAGATCTGGGCCACTCGAGAAGACAACAATCACCTTTGCTGTAGAATTCTGGATGACTTTCACCACCTGTTGGATCTGGTCTTCAGGCAAGTACTGGGCAATCAGCTCACTGAAGTCAATGCAGATATTCCTTTCCTCTGTCTCTTCCCTGAATTTTTCAATCCCTGGTCTGCCATAATTATCATCTGCAGCAATGGTACCCACCCAGTTCCAGTTAAAGTACTCAACTATGTCTGCCATGGCCGTGGCCTGATGTTCATCATTTGGTATGGTACGCAGGAAAGATTTATACTCATTTCTGTTGCTCAAGAGCCGGCTGGATGAAGCATAACTAACCTGGGAGAAAGGACAAAGAATGAGCAGTAACATTGCTAAGCAAAGTGAATAAAAGTAACAAGCCAAGTCAAAACAGCTCTGAAAGCATTGCTATGTGTTTGTTTGTGGAGGTGCTTTTGTTATCTAAGAATTCTTGTTCCTTATGAAAGAAGTAAAGCTTGGGGTGATGTTGCTCTGTATGTTACACAAGGCAGAGTCAATAAAGAGACAAAATTCACATGTTCTACTCTTCTCCAACATAATTAAACTGTATGCTTGTTTTTCCTATTCTCCATACAGTAATCACACAGTTTGCTGAAGAGTGAGCAAACAAAAGAAATTCCTATGTTGTGTGTGTGTGTGTGTGTGTGTGTGTGTATATATTCCACTTTCACATAGCAACAAAAATTAACATGAGACAAAAGAATTAGGCTGGATCTACAGTGCCCTATAACTGTGGGACTGTGGCACAGCTGGCTGGGAGTCAGCTGCATTCAGATTACTACTGACCAAAAGGTGATGAGTTCGAAGCCTGCCCGGGTCAGAGTGAGCTTCCGACCAATTTGTGTAGCTTGCTGTTGACCTTTGCAACCTGAAAAACAGTTGCATCTGTCAAGTAGGAAATTTATGTACCGTTTATGCAGGGAGGCTAATTTACGATGCCATAAAAATCTCCAGCAAGCATGCAAAGAATGCGGAAGTGCTTCATCAGTGTCACAAATTGACGGCAAAGCAACAGCTCCCCTGGTGGCCAGAATATCCTCATGAAAAAAGCTGAAATGTTAAATAGCCTCTGTGTGTCTGTCTATATATGTTGTGTGTCTATGGCATTGAATGTTTGCCATGTATATGTACACTGTAATAGACTCTTTACAAACGCAAGACTAAACATATTCCCTTCAGAGATGCTAAGAGGAATTTCTTACTCCCAAAGACTATGCCTCTGTTAAGGAAATGAAGTAGAAACAATAGAACACATTTTATTGCAGTGCCGTTATTATACAGTGCAACACAGCCAGCTTTTAGATCCAATTTTGTCCCACATGACCAGACCTCCCACATAGAGGATTGTTAGATATCTCTTAGAGGACAAGTGCCACAGGATGACTTTCATAGTGACAAAATTCCTTGCAGTGGCAACAAGGATGAGAAAGAAACTAACCTCCAGTAGGGGCATTACTTGAAACCATGTAGATGTATCTTGTACAATTAACTTCTCCTGAGATGGGATAATTAATTAATGACTGCTTGATCACTGATGGGTATATGGGCCATAATAACTATTGCTGTTGTTGTTGTGTCAGAGGAAAAGGAACAGGAGCCAGAGAGTCTCAGTGAAAATTCACAATACAGGATTAAAATCACTCAAGGAGAAGGGGAGCCAATCTTGAGGAACATTTACACCAGACCTGCACAGACTGTCCCTTGAAAAAGGGCTAGTTTCTTTTTAAAACTACTACACAACACCCTTCCCCACTCCCTCCCTGCCTGCCTGACAAGAAAGGGAAATGGTGCAAAGCCAGTGAAGGGCCTGGACTTTTTCTTCACCGGCCAGCCCTTTGTCTGCCTAACTGTCCATATAAAAATAAATTTGAAGATTCATATAGAACATTAATAGTTATATGTTTGGTCACACTAATATAGCATTTACAGTTATGTTATATTATTTTGGCTGGATTTCTATTTATTACATTTATATCCTGTCGTTCCTCCAGTGTAGGTATGGTAACATAAAAATTCCTCCCCTCCCATTGGAGCTACTGATAGAGATAGCAATTGGCCTAAATAGAAATCATCTTTTAAAATTCAGCTCTACTTTGGCTATCATGCTAAGGCAGTGGTTCTCAATTTTCCTAACTCTTAATACAGTTCATCATGTTGTGGTGACCCCCAAGCATAAATTTTTTTTTTGTTGCTACTTCATGACTGTAATTTTGCTACTGTTATGAATTGTAATGTAAATATCTGATATGCAGGATGTATTTTCATTAATTGGACCAAATTTGGCACAACTACCCGATATGCCCAAATTTGAATATAGATAGGGTTAAGGAGGGGATTGATTTTGTCATTTGGGAGTTGTAATTCCTGGGATATTTAACCTACAATCAAAGAGCATTCTGAATTCCACTAACAACGGAATTGAACCAAACTTGGCACACAGAACTCCCACGACCAAGAGAAAATACTGGAAGGGTTTGGTGGGCATTGACTTTGAGTTTTGGAATTGTAGTTCACCTATATATAGACATCACTGTGGACTCAAAACAATGATGGATCTGGACTAAACTTGGCACAAATATTCAATATGCCCAAATGTGAACACAGATTGAGTTTGGGGGGAAAAGATTCGGGAGTTGTAGTTGCTGGGATTTAAAGTTCACCTACAATCAAAAAGCATTCTGAACCCAGCCCACAATGGATCTGCGTGAAACTTGGCACACTACCTACATGGCCAACATTGAATACTGGTGGGGTTGTGGGGGGAGCTGTTTTTGAATTCTGTGAATTGTAGTTCGCCAACACCAAAAAGGAAGAGAAGGACAGGCAGAGAGATCATCAGTCTTCCCTGCCAAAAGGGGTCCTAAGTATGTGTTTTCTGATGGTCTTTGGCGACCCCTTCATGACCCCCCCAAGGGTCCCAACCCCCAGGCTGAGAAACACTGCCCTAAGGCAAGCTTACCTGAGGTATGTAAAAAAGACCTAAGAGATTGGCCACCGCAGTCGAAATTCCCGACCCAGTTGCTCCCACTACTGCAATTGTGGAAGGAATGTGCTCTGAGCAATTGCAGAACTCATCCAGATTCAAAGAGTCGATCTTGTTTTGGGCCACAAAACTCAGGGTGGCTTCCAGGGCTTTGGAGACAGTGTTGCAGGTGTCAAATATGCTGTATCCAAGAGTCATGTTGGGAAGAAGAGTTGGGCTGCTATTAATCTCCTCAATGGCAAAGATCATTGCCTGAAGCCAGCGGAAACCACGGAAATTATACCTATAAAAGAAGGGGAGACATTAAAATAAGCACAGCTGCCTATAAGTGAAGCAGAGCAAAAGACAAAGCACCTATGTGGATAATGAAAGTGTACGGCCAAAGTCTTTCTTCACAGAGACATTTATCAACTCAGTTCAAAAAAGGGAATGCAACACAGATTAATTTCAAACATTACTCACATCTAAAAGAGTGTTAGGCATTAGAACGTTTATTCTTTGACCTGTTGGATGAGATCTGGATGCATTTTACAGTGACACGAGATGTGTCATCCATGTTATTCTCTTGGTATTTGATATTTGATCAAAAGGCACCTGGGCATGAAGGCACCACTTTTCAGTGATCATAGGCTTCTGTGTTGGGGAATCTTCTCCTCAAAATGCTCAATTAAACATGTGATGGAAATCAACGCTCAATTAAACATGTGATGGAAAGGCCTCCCTAAGAATCTCAGGGCCCAAACAAATTTGTACAGGAGATGGGATTTGCTATACAGCTTGTACTTGAGCCATGTAAGCCATTATAGGCTATAATTAGCACTTTGAATTTTGCCTAGAATCAAACTGGCAGCTAGTGGAACTGTTGTAACTCTCTCTATGTGTGCTCCATGTAGTCAGCCCCACTCAAGAATACGGCTGCATTGTGCCAGTCAAAATTTCTGAACACTATTCAAAGGCAGTCCACAAAGTCCATTACAGTAATCCAAATGGGATGCAATAAGGCATGTACTACCATGGCTAGAGCCAATGTCCTAAGGAATGGGTGCAGTTGTCATAAAGGTTTTAAATGTGTGAAAGCACTCCTGGCCACTGTGGAAACTTGGGCCTCCAGCTTCAACACCGAGTACAGGTGTACTCCCAAACTGCAGACTTGTGGGTACATGTGTTCATGAAACCTGCTATTGCCAAAGTTGCCTACAACTCCTTGGACAGCAAAAGAGAGAACGTTGGCAGTAGCAACCAATCTCAATGTTAGATTCCAGAAACCTAGAGGGACTGTGAGGGAGAAAGAGAAAAAGTGAAAGAGAAAGAGACAACTGCTGGTTCTTGCAGGTTGCTATGGTGGAGTCACTGCAGAGTCTAAGGCAGTGGTTCTCAACTTTCCTAATGCCACAACTCCTTAAAAGTTCCTTATGTTGTGGTGACCCCCAACCATAACATTATATTTGTTGCTACTTCATAACTGTAATTTACTGTTATGAATCATAATGTAAGTATCTGATATTCAGGATATTCACTGGACCAATGTTGGCACAAATATCCGATACATCCAAATTTGAATACTGGTGAGGTTGGGGGTGGGTGCGGGGTTATGTTGTATCTGGGAGTTGTAGTTGTTGGGATTTATAGTTAAACTACAATCAAAGACCATTCTGAACTCCACCAACAATGGAATTGAACCAAACTTGGCACACAGGACTCCCATCACCAAGAGAAAATACTGGAAGGGTTTGGGGAGCATTGGCCTTGAGTTTTGGAGCTATAGTTCACCTACATCCAGAGAGCACCGTGGACCAAACTTGGCACGAATCATCAATATGCCCAAATGTGAACACTGGTGGAGTTTGGGGAAAATAGACCTCGACATTTGGGAGTTGTAGTTGCTGGGATTTATAGTTCGCCTACCATCAAGGAGCATTCTGAACCCCACCAACGATATAATTGGGCCAAACTTCCCACACAAAACCCTCATGAACAACAGAAAATACTGTGTTTTCTTATTGTCTTTGGTGACCCCTCTGACACCCCCTCCTCACAACCCCCCAAGGGGTCATGACCCTCAGGTTGAGAAACACTGCTCTAAGGACTCCCACTAGACCTCTTTGGCTTGCCGCTTTTCAGTTTCTTCCAGCAGAGCAACACAGAGAGTGGCCCGCACAAGGGAAATCTTGAACTACCCCATTCCTTCTTCCCTGCCTTCCCCACTCCATTATGGTTACAAGTGACTTCTTTCTACTGCCCTTTCTTCTCCTTTCTCCTTCTACTACCCCTATATTTTCTTACTCATATTCATTATCTTCCTTCCATCTCTTTCGCCTCTCTAAATCTTTGTTCATTCAAAACAACAAGAATATACCCTCAGACAATGATTTGGACTTCTCGGATTCTCAATATTTTAAAGTTTATGTAAAGTAAAAATAATGGTTTCCTCTGACATTAAATCTAGTTGTGCCCGACTCGGGGGAGGGGGGTGTTCATCACAATTTTTAAGTTAAGAGCTGGCATTGGACAACTTCCAAAGTCATGTGGGACTGTGTTGAGCACCATTAGGTACTACTAAATTCTGTAGATTCCTTCAGAATAGACATTCCCACAACAATCACCAGTTGCCAACTAGGGTTTGATCCTGAAATTCACAGAAGCTGGACAACTCCTGAGCTGGCAACCTTACGGCTAGTTTGGTGACTCTATGGCAAAGGGAAACTATAAAGCCCAATTACTAGTTTCCTAAGCTGAAATAGCTAATGGAAGCCTCCTGATTTGCTTTTGCACACACATCATCAGTTGGCTGTCTCATACTTGCCCACCTGTAATCACTCAACCTTTGAGATGTTTGTCTTTCACAATCCTATGACTAGTATGGCAATTGCATCCAGCCATACTTCCCAATTAATGAGCTTCTTGTGTGTTTCTTCTGCATTCACATTCTGAACATATATTGACCTTAAATGGTCTTATAAGTGCATAGAGCAGGACAATGTAGTATCATTTTCATTCATATTGGGTGCATCACCGTAGATTTAATGATCTCACTTTAAATGCCGTGGTTCAATGCTATGAAATTATGGGATCTATAGTTTGGTGAGGCACACATCCTATTTGACAGAGAAGTCTAAAGAGCTTGCAGAACTATAACTCCCGTGATTTCACAGCATTAGGCCATGGAAGTTGATGTGGTGTGGTGTCTACAGTGTAGATGCACCCACTATTGTGTGTTTTCAAGTCGCTTCCGACTCATTGTGACCCTATCATAAATTATAGAGCACGTCTTTCCCCAGGTCACCCAATGGGTTTCTGTGGCCAAGCAAGGATTTATAATCCACTGCTGAAACCATCACACCATGCTGGCTCATTAAGTTTATAGGTAGGGTCATAACTGATCTATATCAGTGTCACAACATGTGTGGAAGAAGACAGGAGTGACCAGTCTGGCAGGGGAAATGAAAGCAAAATGGATCAGTTTACAAAACTTAGGGAAATAAGCTTGAAGTTTGAATACTGACAAAAGTTTAGAGAACTTAAGTCTTTTTGAACAGGAATTATTCAATGGGTTGTTGTAGGTTTTTCCGGGCTATATCAATGCATAGGTAAACCAGGGGTGTGTAATTCCCCCGGTTTGAAGGCCACACAACACATGCCATCAAGTATGGGAGGACTGCTCCCCCCATGTTTCCATTTGAATTATTTTTTTATTAAAACCTCCCTGCATCCTCCACACAACCATTTTGCCACATTGAGGTGGAATGAGAAATTTGTCTGTTTTACGTCCAGAAGACAGTATTGCCTTCAAAAATGAAAAATACCTTCCGCAGCCTAAAGCAGGACAGTCTAGGGATGTCAAATGAACCTTCATGTATATGATAGTAAACTGAGTTTGAATTTACAGGAGGGTGAAGAGATATAATAAGAAATCTGCTTGTGTGTTCATTTAGATATCCGCATGAGCGCATATAAGGTCCAACACATCTCAGAGAGAATTAATAAATAAAAGTAAACTTTGGTGGGATGCCCCCTGTCCATCTTGCAGATTTCTAAAATCCACTACAAACGAAGGTGTCAGAACAGCAGGGAACCATTAACAGGGACTGACAGGTCTGTTTTTGGACTTGCTGTCATGTCCCACAATTTTTGGCCCCACTTATTTAATCTGCATTTTGACGCTGTCTGGAAGTGCCTTGTGGCAGACTCCAGAACCTTCCTTGGCTGGAGAGAAATTGAAATTCTGCATATGTTGCTGGTTGTGTGACAAACAACACTGGGTGAAATTCCTGTTCCTATTTAGCCACTGAAGGAAAATAAATCCCTCCAGTTCTCACTCTGTCACCTTAGGGCAGTCCACACAACATGGTGAAGTTTTCCACAAACCTATTGTAAGTGGGACATGGGTGGATGGGGGGGGGGGAGGGTTGAGTTGGCATGGGTACAGAGAAGAGAATGAAGTGATAGAGTGGTTCAAAGTTATATGCCATATACTTAATAAATTTAAACACAGAGTGTATACATTTTGGGACCTTTCCCAAGGGAAAACACTTCTAGATAACAGTGTGATAACCCAGCTTACCCTTATTATCAATTTACTGTTTCAAATTCTTCCCTCCAGCGGCCAAGGGGACTGCTCAGCCTTCTGCCTGAAACTGATGGTTAAAGGTTGAGTATCCAAGACGTTCTAACTTTGTTTGTGTTGTTGATGTTGTTATTATTTTTAAACCACATCTGACTATAATAGCTGTTTAGCAGTGGAACTCCTGCCTCCAAGTGCGGTGGAAGCTCCTTCCTTGGAAGCTTTCAAAAAGAAGCTGGATGGCCATCTGTCAGGGGTACTTTGATGGTGCTTTTCCTGCATGGCAGGGAGTTAGACTAATTGTCCATATGGTCTCATCCAACTCTAGTATTCTATTATTATTCTAGGAGAGAACTAAGAAGAAATAATTCATTCAAAGCAGAGGCTGTTCTCTCTGCACACAGCCATCCTACCTATCAAAATAGGGTCAAAATAGCCAATCTATGGCCCCTTCCAGTCAGGCCGGATGTGGCCTGCAAAGGGCTTTCTTGTGGCCCGTGGAAGGAAGGCAGGAGAAGGGCCGACCAGCAAGGGGAAGCCTTGTTCCTTCGCCAGCCACGTGCAGTTCCCTTTTGGCGAAGGAGCTGGGATTTCCCTCGCTGATCAGCCCTTCTCCTGTCTGCTTCGCAGGCAGACAACGAAAGTGTCAGCTAGTCAAGACTGTTGAAATGGAACTGTTTTATTGCTCAGTGTCCATCAATACTGCTGACAGAAATAAAGTA